CCCCAAAACCCCAAAACCCCGTAAGATATAATACATCTTATTTGAAATATGAGTTTACTTTGATTAAGTAATAAATAATAAATTCAAATGTTTTGAACAAATATTGCACCACTAGAAGGATTGCCTGTTTCAATCTAGTTATAACCCAGTTCATTCCAGTAACCATCAAGATGCTTCCTTAGTCCTTCAAAAGGAAGCATGATTTGCCCTATTTCAGTAAGGTGAGCATTAACTTCGCCTTCAAGATTTGCTAAGTCCTGAGACTGTTAATCCATAATCATATTTAATCCTACCATCACAGTCAATGAACCTGTGAATACTTTGACTCTGCTTACTGAAGCTCCTAGGAATCTCTATAGAGCAATTATTCTAATTTGATCCTCATCTGATATAGGTCTATCTTTATTGAAAAATTATATTACTCCCATGGAGTATCTCTGTTCAGATTCATCATAATCATTTATGGATGCAATCAGAAAATTCTTGATTTGCTTTACTCCAATATAATTATCAACATCACTATTGAAGCCATTTGATTTCTTTTTCTGATTAAATGATGAACCAATAGACTTAAGACTAGTATTAGTAGATGGATTTTATCCACCAGTTTTTTAGAGCTGATCTTGGTTCGGGTTACTAGAAAAATGGTTGTTAAATATAATGCCATGATTTTTAAAAACATCACCAGTAATACCAACAGTAGCAGGAAATCTAACTACTGCATCGTCTGGGAATATCAACTCATCTTCAATTCTAACATGCTATTCATTTTCAATATCTTGCTATTCCTTAGTTAATTTAGGCCGAACCATAGATTTGATAAATTTAGACTTCCGCTTATCTTTTGAGGCTTCATATAGACTAATTCGAGGCTTAATGTTTGATATATCAATTTCAGTTGAGACTGTAAAAAATTCCTTCACTATATATATATCATTAAAAATCTTATTGTTACATTTTATATCATGAAAGAGAATTCCAATCTCCTAAAACCCTGTCAGCTTTACTAACTGCCTTTTAAGTCCTCTTATAAGTTATCGATATGTTTTTCTGCCACAGATATCAAATGCAAATTTAATTATTTCATCGACCTTATCATTCTTTTCTAATAGCACTTGCTAATATATGACTACTTCAATTTTAGATAGTAGATATTCAACCATTATTTTTATAAGGTTTTAATCACTGTAATTCCAGCCTTTGCTCAGATGCATAGGCAGCTTTTTCCTGGTTCTATTCCCCATCTTTTTACTAAGTTGCTGCATTTCATTTTCTTTAGAGAGATCTGCTTCTAACTAGACACAAAATACAAGGACATTCTTTTGATTAATCATGAAATGAACTGGAATCATGATCCATTTTTACGTTCTTACTACTACTTCTGACTCTTCAAGAGTCTTAAAAATTGGTCCGCAAAAATCATCCTCATTAGGAAATACTGCATGAATAACATCGGTACCCATTTGGAGTCTTTTAACATATTTCTTTTTATCTTTACTCTATTTTGAAATTCTTTCCTGCATTCCCTTATCCATTATGAATAATGTGCATTTTGATGGCTTGAAGATATTTTTGAATTCGCTTAAAAGCCCTACAATCATATCTAATGGCTTGGGCTATTTACTAATCATAGGCCAATTCATTGTAAATTTTTCAATTTTACTAATTTCCATAAATGCTGGTGCAGCTGTTGTCATTGTTTAACTCTGATGCTCTCCACCTTGTATGGAGAGAGCAGGTTCATTTCCCAGCATTGGCAATTATTGATACTTCATTACTTTCATATTAATGTCATCTAAATTGTCTAGCATTATAGAATTTGAAACTTGAGATAATGTGTCATCTTATAGCTTCAGCATTGTATCTTTATGATTTAACATCCCATGCATTTTAAGTTTTTATCTAGTAGCAAGAGTTTTCTTTAAATTTGGATCATTCATCAAATCCTTATATCTATTTAGAGTCTTTTGAAGTCTCATATTTTCAACTCTGAGTGACTCCAAATTATTGTTTTACTGATCTTACCGATTTCTAAAGTCAGTCATTTATTAGATTGCTCTATCTTTCACATTTTACAAATCATTTTCAAAGTACAAGCTGTAAATGTGATGAATCTCCTTCTCGTGGTTTTTATTTTGTTGAGGGAAACTAGTTTGCTGCGTTACTGCTGATCTAACACTATCTTGAATGAGATTGTCGATCACTTTGGCGTTTGTATTGATAATATTTAAGTCTGATTGCTCTAATTCTTACTCGTATTTCGAAATATTAAATCTTGGTGAGATTCTGCTGCTCTCACTTATTCTGGTTGATAATTTCATATTCATATACTAGCTTTATTGGAGTGACTATCTTTCAAAATCATTAGTTTATGATAGTCTCTCAATATCCTTTCTTCTAAGTTTAATTTTATTTTCCAGTTCTTTAATTCTGAGTTTCATGATTTCCATGTCCTTGATTTTATTTTTTCTTGGACCTGGTTCTATAAGTGGTGCAGGAGTGGGTTAGGTCTAGCTTTAGTTCATAATATCATCAATTTTGTCAAGAAAATAAGGTCTTACAAATTTATTCTTGTTAATCGATGTAGAAATTCCAGAGCTTTGTTATTATGGGGAATTATTATTTAGAGTAAGTTATTTGAGTTGTTATCTCTGGAACACATTTGTAGATGTGAGTTTATTTCTGAAAACAGGCTGCTTCTTAAAAATCCTTTCTTAAGATTTATGAATCTACTAGTAGTCATTATTGGGAGTTCTTAGCTGCTCTAGTTAATATCTTGAGGGATGGCCTATGTCACTTGTTAAGTTAAGTTATCTTTATTGCACAAGTAGACCATTGATATTGCTCTTAAGCATTTTCTAGTCCATGGACTATCTCATTTTCTGGCTATCATTATGACTTGGTACCTTTTAAATGTTCTAAATATCTTTTCCAATAAGACTACGAAGATTTTTATTTATCACTATATCTTCTGGCCTTAGTTTGGGTAGTAACTTAGATGCTTTATTCAGAGTTGGTGTGGTGCATTCATGATTATTGCTAATCTCAGCTTAAGAGTGAAACAAGTTCTCATTTTACTATCCATTAGACTGATATCTATAGATATTCATGTTCCTTTACTATATAGGACTAAGTATTTAGTCTTTCATCTCAGCTCTTGATAAATCATGGTCTTGAGAAATCTAAATTATGTCATAATTAATCTTGAAACTAATTACCTAAAGCTGAAGCCTCGCATATTTTCTATTTTAATTTTATTTTAATAAGCTCTAGCTTATCTTATTTGACTGCAGATCCCCCTCCTGCAAAGACTTTTCCCTGAGTGACTATATAATCCTCCCTCCCATTGTTTCACTAAATAGTTAGCCTAGATAGTCTTCTCTTCTTTTATTTGAGCGTTTTCTGTGCTCCGCTGTTATAATCCCTGCTTTCATGAATGTCTTATAATAAAATGTAATAATAATTTTCCATTAAAACTAAGACTTAATCTGTAGAGCAATTAATCATTGTTTTAATTCATTGATAAATTTCACTTGTACACTAATAATTTATTCGTGGGGTTTTGGGGTTTTGGGG